GTCTGCTCGTGGGACTATGCCCGGGGGGGGACGTCGGGGGTGGAAAGAGCCTCATTTCGCGGGCGTGGGGAGGGCCCGGGGGGGGGCTCCACCGCGCTGGAATTTGTCTGATTGGAATAATGGATGGGCTTGCAAGCTGGCTTTAGCGCTCGCTCACCGAGACACTTTGCAGCTTGCGATCCTAGTGGATAATGATTTTAATCTTTGTAACTGTATCTTTTATGCTGTGGTCTCAAAATGAAGAGATTTGGGGGCTTGTTACCACCGTCTCAAGGGCATCAGGTTTGGGGAGCCACCTGTAGATGGTGTGACTAGCCGGCTGCAGTCTCCTAGGAGCCAGGCAAAGTTGCTTCCAGAAGAATGACTCAGCTCCCAGCCAAGCCTTGGTTTCACCAGAACGGGGCCTTTTGTGGGTCCCATGTTCCCCCTTTTCAGAGCAGCCTAACTGGCAGCTTGCACAACGAATTAATTTTAGGACACTAATAGCTTCCAGTGCTTGAAGAAACTGCCCAGGAGAGTGTTGCTTTCTAAGATAACTTTTCCGAGAAGAAATGTACAATCGCTACAGTGACTTAGGGAAACAATATTAGAGCTGGTTGAGATGCAGGTAGTTCAGCTCTTTTTTACAAATGAAGAAGCCAGTGCCCTTAGAAGTTAGGAGACTTGCCCAAGATCACAGAGTCCCAGAACAGGCTTCTGACCCAGCACAGAACCCCTTCTGCCTTACCCCCATCACAATAAAAATTCTCCAGAGGGAAGAGACCACCCCAGCCAAGCTAAGTTCATGCCTAAGCGACTTCTCTGCTCTTTGCCAGAATCACCCTATCCCCATCCCTCACCTCCCCAATTGTATTAAGCAGATACAGTGTGCCAGGCACTGTTTCCAGTGCTGCACCTGTAACATTTTTGGTGAAGAAGAGAGGCAAAGTAAGGCCCCCTGAATACCCACTGAGCAGCCCATAGTGCTGTTCCGTGGAACACCATTTCTCCTGAGTGCTGCAATGTGGGACCCAGATGCTACCGTCTGATTTGTCAGTCTCTATGATGTGAAGAGAAAGTTTGTCTCTTAAGACTGGCAGACTCTTGTGGTTCAGTGCACATGCTTCAAGTTTACAAGGAATTCCAGTGGAGAATTAAAAGGGTTCTGAGTTTCCATAGGATTTGATTGATGAGATGGACAACTCATCTGGCTATAATGTCATTGATGTACCACTCTCAGCTGCAACTTCAGTATTTCTTTCAGACCTCAAACAGCCATTGAGACTTGCTACTTGCAAAACACTACAAAACAGCTTATGATTTAGCTGGGGGAAAACGTTTTTTGGGAATATATCTTGTGTTAGACATTATTCTATGTATTTTAGGTACATTAACTCATTTAATCTTTATGACAACCCTATGAGGTAGATACTATTATTACCTCCCTTTTAAAGGTGAGAAAACTTTGACACAGAAAGGCCAAAGTCACATTGCTGGTAAGTGGCAGTGCCAGGATTAGAATGCTGGCCACCTGGCTTTAGGTCACACCTCCTTTCAGAAACCAGAGACCAGTGTGAAAATTATGTTCTAAGCTGTAAGTATTCATGTATGGCCTTGAAAAGCTGAGGCTGGAACTTCTAGAGAAGTACAGAGAAACCTGGATTTGAAATCTGGGTTTTCTAGTTCTGCTTCTTTTTCTAATTAGCTATATGACCTCTTTGGGCATTGGTTTGGTCATCTGTAAAATAAAGAGGCTGAGCTAGATGATTTCTAAGGAACCACCCTAATCTAAAGCTCTGTGCTTCAAATGATGTACCAGGATGCCCAGTGTGCGCTAAGGGGGGTTAGCAGTGGTTCCTCTGTTCTCCCACAGAATGCCCCTGTGTGGCTCTGCCAATGTTCACAGGCCTTTCCTACAGCTGGTAGTGCCATCCTAAAACCCTCTTTACCTAGGCGGTTCAAGAAAAGAGAAATATCATATGCAATGGAAAAGGAATAATAAAAACTCATTCATTGAGCATCTAATTTGTCCCAGGCACCTTATAAGTTCCCTTACATATCTAAACACTCAAAGACAGGTTCTTTATCAGGCCAAAGCCGTTCTGCTCCTAAATGATAATACTGTGACTCAGATCCAAGATTTTTTTTTTATTCTAAAACTGATGCTTTCAACTTCTACTCTGCAATGACTTAAAGCCCGGTGGATGTGAAAGAGAAAGCAAAATAGATTATCTTATCTGTTTCATTGCCTGCCATGGGAGATAAGGACTACTCATTTTAAAATCTGGAAAACAAGGCCAGAGGCAACCTGTGTCCAGTCAGTGATTCACCATAGAACTTGAACCCAGGTCTCCCACCTCTTGCTCCCTGCCTATCCCACCTGTTGCTCAAGGATTGCCTGAGAGCACAGCTGTGCACTGACAGTGCTCTATACTTCCAGGGGCTTGGAAGAGGGCACACACAAACTGCAGTGCCCTGCCAGGAGCGCAGGTGGCGTGAGAACTTGTTCTACTGTAAAGGAACATTCAGTCCTGGGGACAGCAAAAGATAAACTGAAACATTAGTTAAAAGTGGTTTTTCCCCCCTTATAACCTCCAAACATGAAAACCAGTGAAAAAAGGGATTGTAAAGCTCCGATGAGATAAATATTAAAGTGCTTTGTAAACTATAAAGTGCTACGGGCATGATATTCTGCATATCTTTGAAATAAAGGGCATGTTGTTAATAGCCATTTACCAGAGAAGAGTAACAGTCTATCAGGCCATGAGGGAATTGCTGACTGCCATAGTGGGAGGTCTCCTGAGCCTGGAAAACACCCTGTACCTTGATAACTCTTTTGTAACTGTCAGCAGGGCTCAGGGCATCAATGTTTCCTTTCCAATGTTGCCAATGAGCATCTCTGTGTCTCTTTGTCCCAGGCCTCAAGGCTGGCTGAGTAGCTGGCTGCCGGCTTGGCGCCCCACTTCGATGTCTCAATTGAAGAATGTGGAAGCCAGGATCCTCCAGTGTAAGTAGAAGGGACAGCTTGTGCCATCTCCCTTGAGCCTAAGGATACAGGATCTTCCCATAGCCTGGTACACTGAGCCCACTGACTCCTGATTAGCAATGCTTGGGAGTGGGAGGAAGGCTTGTCAGTGATCTAAGGGAAGAGATTTGTACAAAGGACACCATATTCTATTCTAATGGTTCCTCAACGTGTCCCTCCCTGCCCATCATGCTAGCTCCTGCCACATCCCACAACTTCACCTCCAACCCTGTACCAACTATTAGCACACAACACACACAAATACACATTCTCTCCTTCCCTCCTTCTCCTCCTGCTCCTCCCTTCGTCCTCTCTCCATCTGTTCTTCCAAACACACAAGCACTTCTTAGATTTACCACCTCACTACCCAAGGACCAGCAAGCAGTCCTATATTGTCTAATATTACTATTTCCCCACCACTTCCCTGGTTTGAAACAGGAGTTTGGGATTCCCACAGACCAGCTCTCGTGAGCAGTGTTGTATTGGGGCAGGGCATCCCATGAGCACCAGCAGCCACTGGCTCAAACAAGGCCCTTGGGCCACATCTCCCAGCGTCTCTCATATGATCTTATCCACCCTGTACTACTTCCCCAGCCACGGCTACCCTCTCTTATGGGCCTGAGTAAATACAACTGATGAACAGCTGCAGCTTTCAAGCTTCTGTCCAGGATCCACGTGACTGCCCCAGGCAGCTCTGTCATGTAATTTCCTTCACACCAGCAGAGCGAGTGCTGCCCACCTTGGTCTGTCTCTAAGAGGAATAAACCCATGGCTCAGTTTACACCCATCACCTCTCCCCTGGCTCAATTCCATTTAGAAGCTGCCCTCCCACATACCCTCAGTGGGGACACTTCTGTCCATCTGCCAAGCCCCAAGCACACAGGGACAAGAGCAATGGATGCAGGAGCTCTGTGAGGTTGGTGGGGTCACTGCCATCCTGGGCCCAAAGGGAGCCAAGCAAACAGCCTGGAGGAATAAGGTGGCCACTCTTATTACCTACAGACTAGATAGTCTACAAACCGTACTTGGAGTTGAACTCGTAGGGTGTGTGGTGAAAGGGTTATAAAAGGAAAGAGGTTTGGGAATGGAAGGACAAAGCTGAAGAGCGGTAGTCCAGGCAAAATGATGCTGCTATCAGAAAACAGACTTATTGCTCTGCCCTGAATCCCCTCTCCCCAGGTCTCCAGAACAAGTTCCTGGCCCGGTATGTGTCTCTCCCAAACCAGAACAAGATCTGGACGGTGACCGTGAGCCCCGAGCTCAGGGACCGCACCCCCTTGGTGATGGTGCATGGCTTCGGGGGTGGTGTGGGCCTCTGGATCCTCAACATGGATTCACTGAGTGCCCGCCGCACGCTGCACACTTTTGATCTGCTTGGCTTCGGGCGAAGCTCCAGGCCAACATTCCCGAGGGACCCAGAAGGGGCCGAGAATGAGTTTGTGACCTCAATAGAGACGTGGCGGGAGACCATGGGGATCCCCAGTATGATCCTCCTGGGGCACAGTTTGGGAGGATTCCTCGCCACTTCTTACTCTATCAAGTATCCAGAAAGGTAAGGAGGAGCCACCCTCTCAGTCTTTACCTAACTCCTTGCCTTACCAGAAACCTTCCAGTGTTAGTTTCCAGTAGTTCTCTTCTTCCTGGGTGACTTAAGGGCTATGGTACCTCCAAGCAAGTACAGCTTCTCCTTTGTCCTTCTGTAGAGTTAAACACCTCATCCTGGTGGACCCATGGGGTTTTCCCCTCCGACCAACTGACCCCAGTGAGATCCGTGCACCCCCAACCTGGTTGAAGGCTGTGGCCTCTGTCCTAGGGCGGTCCAATCCACTGGCTGTGCTTCGAATAGCTGGGCCCTGGGGTGAGTAGCTGGGCCCTGGGGTGAGTAGCTGGGCCCTGGAGTGAGTAGCCTACAGATGAAGAAACTGTCTCCTCAAACGAAGGCTGTCCCATTCTAGAAGCCCTACTGCTTCTGGACTCCCATCATCCCCGCTTGTTCTTGAAAAGTGGGAATGGGCCTAGCATTGTCATTTAAAGCAATTAATCTGGACCAGATCTCTTTGAAGTTTCAGAAAGTTGTTTTTTTCCTTCATTTGCATGGAAAAAGCTTTCCTATACTAGGGAGAGATGGAACAGAACTACTACTCTGTGCCTTGGTTAGACCCCCAGAGAGAGAGAGAAAGAAAGGGGCCGTGAGGTGGCTCTTCCTCTGCTGAACTCTTATGCTACGTGTGAGTTTATGGCAACCTGTTGGCGATTCAGCACAGTCACCACCACTGGCTCCCACCTCTGCAGCTCACCCAGAACCTGCAGCAGGGAGATGTCAGAACCAGAGCCTCCAACACAACCTGCAGTGTCAGGCAAGCTCCTTAAACCGTGCCCTATTCCAGTCAGACACCACAGCTTCGCCATTGAGTAGCCGCCAGCAAATTCTGTGGCTGAAGGGAGGGCAGGAGTTCGGGGGAGCCAGCCAGACTAAGTGAAATCAGTAGGTCCCAGGCTTCTGACCTCAGACTGCCAGCACCCTAACTTTCTGGGGAGCTATTGACTCTGATGAAGTGAAAAGCAGATGCCCTTTATGGAAAAGGTTGGTGAACTCTCTATTTTATAGTAATGGCTTATGTATACATAGTAATGCTCAATAGCCAATTGTTGCGAGTTAATTGCTAATGGCTAAATAAGAGTTATCTCTCTAGGGCCTTCATGAGAAACAGAATGGCTCTGGATAAAAGAGAAAAATGAGCATTTGAGGAGAAGGTAGGAGTTTAGGAGAAGCCCAGCTCTCACCACTCTCCCCATTTTTAGACTTGCGTCTGGCCAGGTTTGTGCATGGCCATCAGAGCCAGCGTGGTGGTGGCAGTTGGCTGGCAGCCATGGAGGAGGGCCAGGGCCCCAAGGGATCCTGGCTGTCCTCCCTTTGACCCCTTGCTTCTTAGATTCAGAGAGAGAAAGGTCAGGAGTTGAACAGTAGGCCCAATTTTTATAGCCTGTTTTGGGTCCCCTGTTTGTCCATGAACTATATAAAGAAGTTGAAGAGAACAGATTGCTCTAAAACTGTGTCCCGAGTCTGAGATGCCAGGGTTAAGTTTGCCTCTCCGCTGGTGTTATGTTACAGGCCTGAACATGAGCGGACTCTTGGGAGGTGGTCTGGTTTCATTCACTACCTTAAGATTAAAAGGCCCTAAGGGTCTCAGGAATGGGTGAAATAATGTTTGGTGAAAGTTGTTGAAACGTGCAGAGGCAGGAGTCTTTCCCCCACCACCCAACTGGCCTCTCCATGGTCTCCTATCCCCTCCCAGGGCCTGGCCTGGTGCAGCGATTCCGACCAGACTTCAAGCGCAAGTTTGCAGACTTCTTTGAAGATGATACTATATCGGAGTATATCTACCACTGCAACGCGCAAAATCCCAGGTGAGAGCTGCGCCCAGAGCCAGCGTGAAATGAAAACTGCAGAACTGTCCCAGGATCTCTCTGTGCTGTATTTCTTCTTCCATAAAGCTTTCATTCAGTTTGCGCAGTGATTTTCAGCCTTTTTCATCTCATGACACATAAACTAATGACTACAATTCTGCGGCACACCAAAAACTATAATTTTGCTGATCTGACCAAAAAAAAGGTATAATTTTGATTCATGCACACCGTTTGGCTATTGTTGTGTTGACTGTTGTCATTTTTTTATTTGACAATCTAAGGGAAAAAGAGGTCAGTGCACCTGACTAAATAGTCAGGTATTGTTTTAAAAGTTCTGTGGCATAGCAGTGTGCTGCGACACACTGGCTGAAAATCGCTGAGTTAGGAGAATAGAAGCATTAGCAGGTTTGGTCATTTCCAGAGACTTCCCCAGGGGTAGGCACAATGGGATGGAGAACATAACAGATTAATTAAAATTGCCACTGTCTCTAGAGGTGACCCTTACTCTTCCGTTGAGATAGGCAGTTATTCTGACAGGCAATAGTCTGGAAAACATTTGAAAAGACCTTTTTTTTTTTAACTGAAAAAATGATATGAGCATGGTATTTTTAAAAAGGCAAAAAGAAAGAAGTCGTTTCCTGTTCCAGACCTGTAATTCCCAAATTTCCTTGTTACTGCCAATCTGAAATACCACGAGACAGCTTGAGAACCTCCTTCCTCTTCCCACTTGTGACAGTGTCTATAGGGTACCTTCCTACAAATAGAATTGCTGATTGAAAAAGTATGCATTTTAAAATTTAATTATGTGCAACTTGAAACATTTTTGGGGCAGGAATTCTTTCCAAACCTTTTGGAGATTTCCGGCGGTCTCCAGAATCTTGAGAGCTTCATGTCTGTGACTACTCACACAGCCGGCCCACAAGTCTGCTGATCTACAGTCTTGCAGCTGAGGCCAGGGCAGAGTCAGGGAGGTAATCTTCCCCTCGGGCCATGCTGTGTGAGTGGCTGATATAGGGAGGCTGCTTTGGTGGCACCTCCTCTGTGGTGGCCTCACCCTAAGCTGCTGGGAGGCATCTTAGGGGAGCCAAGGTCACTGGGAGCAGCAGCACTGCCCCACCTCTTTCCAGGCCTGTCCAGGTTACAGTTGTGGGCCAAAGCTGTGAAAACGGAGGGGATTTGCATTCCAGCAGTACTGTCTGAGCATTAGCCTCAAACCCAGACAGCTTTCAGGCACCATGGAAACTGTCCATCCGACATTCCTCATGAGCTCAGCTAATTGAAGAGCTCTGCTTAGAAACTCAGCTCGATGGTCAAATCAGGTAGCCCCCTGCTTTCTGCTCTCTACCCCTCTTTCAGCCCCCACTGGGCTCAGTGCCAGTCTCAGACCCACTTGAAGCCCCTCACCCCAATTCTAGCCCTTTCCTCAGAATGTTCCCCAGTTTCAGACCTAGTTCTGTATAAGGAATGCCCTCCCAATCTAAGCCACAGAATATATAATAATGGGACTCCTCCGTGTCCTGGAGGAAGCAGAGATGACATCCATGATAACCAGCCCCTCCCCTTAAATACAATCATTTTATTTTATACCCCCCTGAGGGTTTCTGAGTTGTAACCCTGACAAACTCAAGGTAACTCCTACCATTTCCTTGGAAAACATGAAATTTGGCCATGGAAAAATATTGGGGGGGAGGGGGAGACCTGCTTTGTTTCACCAACACTTAGGGGCTTTGTACATATTTTCATTTTCCTCACAATGAATGAATAAAGTGGGTATAATTCCTCTCGTTTGTAGATGAGAAACTTAAGGTGTGTTCTGGTTACATGACTTGCTAAGAGTGTAGCCAGGACTTGAAGTCACATCTCTAACTTCAGAGCCCATGATTTTTCCACTGCACTGAATATCTTAAGGAATAACTGATTCTGGTGGCCTGTGCATAACTCAGGCTCCCCTTCAGACCAAGGGTGCCAAGGGGACAAGCTGAGCCTCATAGAAAGCTGCCCCCTGAACCTCCTCTGCCTCCCAAAAAAGCTACAGACCAGTCCAGAAAGTCACTTCCATTTCAGCCTTGTAGACCCCTCATGATACGGCCTCAATTAGCTCTACCTAAGGAAATGACCAGGGAGCAAAGTAGATTTGATTGGCAGTCATTGCTTCTCACACATCACAAACTGCTGCTCCCCAGGTCTTCACAAGACTGATGTTTTATTCAGAATCTCCTCAGGAGACCCTTTGTATACCATAGTACTCACTCTTGAGACTCCACCTCAGATGAGCTCCTTGACCTCCCTCCACCCCCATCAGGCTAAGTCCTTAGTACTCCACCACCCTTTCATAGTTCTTGGGAACTGTGAAGTTAATGAATCATATAATTCATTATTTAATCCCTAAAGTGTTAGCTGAAATGTGAGCTCCAGATCGGCAGATACTGCATCTGTCTTGTTCATATGTTCTCAGCTCAGGGCATGACACATAAATATTTATTGAATCAATATTAATCCATTGCATTCTTGGACAATATTCAGTGTCCTGGGGTTTTCACAAGTGCATCCCTCTAACTCTGTTTTGTGTTAGGAGGCCTCTAGGGATTCAGTCTTATCTCCTAATCTTACCAATATTTAATGAGTCTCAAACCCAGGGTTTGAGGGGCATACAAAGATGGTGAAGATGCCCCCCCAGCCTCTGAAGAGACCAAGTTGACATTTTATGCTACGGGGTTTATTCTACTAATCACCTCACCCTGTTTTGCTTCTAAGTGGTGAGACGGCCTTCAAAGCCATGATGGAGTCCTTCGGCTGGGCCCGGCGCCCCATGTTAGAGCGAATTCACTTGATACGAAAAGATGTGCCCATCACCATGATCTACGGGGCCAACACCTGGATAGATACCAGCACGGGGGAAAAGGTGAAGCTGCAGCGGCCGGATTCCTATGTCCGAGACATGGTATGTTGGCCACCCAAGGAGCAGGATTGAGGTGGAAAAGCTGTGCATTGAACGCCAGCACATGTTGGTTGACTCTTAGCATGGATGAGCAACTCGGGGTAGAGAAGGGTGGTGGGAGAGTCAGCAGGGAAAAGAGGGATGAACAGATTGAGATGGAGCATTGGACTTGAAAGGGTTGTCTCTCTGTCTTTTCATAATTAGGGGTCCTCTCACTTCTGTTCTTGTCCAGTAGTCAGGCACAGACATCATGGTACCACTCCAGCCCCCCTGTAATTCCCACTCAAAACCAGAGCTGTGAACAGTAGAGCGAGTAGTAGAGGCTGGCGTGAAGCCTTCTCACCACACTCCTGCCTTCCCTTTTTTCTTTCCGCCTCAACCCTCATTTGCTAATGAGTGTGCTTAATTAGGCTGGCTGCCTAGCAGGCCCTGGTTTACCAGACCTATGGGTGAAATGAACTAGTGGAGCTAGCGTGGAAGGCAGGATACAGTGAGTGGCCATGGGAGAAGGATAATGGGATATTGAGAGTCATTGGCTTCCACAGGAAAGTGCAAGATCCAGGGAGAAAAATGGACCATTGTTTCTAATAAGTGCTTATGGGGGTGATAGGCAAGCAGGTCTAAAGGAAAAGAAATGGTTTGACAGCTTCCCAGTGCCTGGAGTAAAGGACTGTCCCACCCCTGGTGGCTTATTTCCCCACAGGAGATTGAGGGTGCTTCACACCACGTCTACGCAGACCAGCCACATATCTTCAATGCTGTGGTGGAAGAGATCTGCGACTCAGTTGATTGAGCTGCTCTTGCTAGAGGAAGCGGAGAAAGCCAGAGAGTCGCTCTCGCCTCCCTGTCTGCTTACTCACCCCTCTGTCCTTTCCTTACCAACTAACATGTGCCAGCCAGTCAGAGTCTTGGGCTGCTCCCAAGGCAAGAACACAGTGAAGAGCACTCCTGACCCTATGCTAAGGGCTGGAGGCAGAAGCCACAAAGACGCCTTGAGCTCCCCACCCCAGGGGAAGAATATTAAGGGTCACTTAGTGCCACCCTATTCTCTCCATGCCAAGTGTTACCCCACATAGTGGTTGTGAAGGGCCTGCACTGAACCACGTTCCCTCCCTGCCAAAGGGGAGGCAGCCTCTCTTCCCCTGGACAAAGCAGAGACTCCCACAGTCTCCCAGCTCTGGAACGTTTCTGGGGGTAGGTTCCACGAAAGAGCATCTTCCTCCTGCATCACCCCCTTGCCCCTCCCATGCCAGCATCCAGGGTGTGGTTGGGATCAGTTCCCACTTAGCTACCAAGAGCAGGTTCTGGAGCTTCCTTATTCAGCGCCCCTCCCATGACCTGAGAGGTCATATCTAAAGCCCTCAGTGGATGAGGGACAGGCCAGGGCAGGACATGGCTGGCCCATGGTGATAGAGCTTTGTTCCAGGAAAGTTCAGACTGGCTAGAACCCAGGTCTGTTGACACCCAGTGCTCATGCAGGCTCCATTTGTGAAGGTTCGAGGCAGGCAGCATTGCCATGGGTTAACTGGCCAAGGGTGAGCCCATCCCTGGCCCACATTCCAGGCCCATTGCACAGGGGTGCTGTCGTCCTGCCCTGTGTCTCAGCCCTGACTGTCTAAACTGGGAATTCTCAAGTGCTTCCTTCCCTGCCCCCTCTTCCTCCCAAGGGGAGGCCTCTGGGCCTCCCTCTGTGCCTTGGGCCCTGAAGCCCCACCTGTAGTACAGAGCAAAGGTGGCCCCTGGTGGAAAGAGAAGAGAAAGGCCCTTAAACCCAGGGCCATGTCTGGATTCCCTTGCTCCGGCAAGATTTTTCTTCCTATTCCCAGAGCTGAGGCCACCTGGAGCCCCAGCCCATGGTCCAGTGGGGAGCCTCATGCCAGCAGTTTCCTGTCCTCATCAGCCATAGGATGGTTTTCACTGCCTGGCCCTCCATCCCTGCCATCTGTCCTCCATGGTCTCCAGTTCATCCCACTCAACCTATCATCCTCTCCCAGAGGCAGGCTCCAGGTGCTCCTGTGAGGTTCTGGGCAGTAGGCTGGGCCTGTCCCCAGAACCAGGGCAGCTCCTGCCTGCCTCTTCACTTTTGTAAAGCCAACCCTTTCACCAGAATAGTATTAACTGACCGTGCTTTGTACTACTGGTCCAGCTGCCTTGGGCTCCTTTTCTACATTAATAAAGAAATGAGTAAAAACTGCTGGTGGTGATGATGTTTAATATTGCTGGAACAAGAGTGCTGGGAGTGGCGCTGAACACAACAGCCCATGTGATGGGTGAGTCAGGGAAGGGCGCCCTGAGGGAGCCCTTACACACCTTTCCCTCTCCTTTTTAGTGCAGCATTCGCCCTCTAGACCCAGATTGGCAGGGGCCATCTCAACCATCTCATCCCCTTCTCGGAGGGTGCATGGAGAGTGTGGATGGGCCAAAGCCCAATTCAGAAGGAGAATTGGGCAGAACTGAATGCCCTCTGCTGCTCAGTAAATAGCCATCTTCCGAAGTTCACTCCACATGAGCCTACACCTAGACTGTGTCCTATGGCCTGTTTTCCTAACTCCTACTCATCCCCTCAAAAAGTCCTTATGCTAGGAAACCTGTCTCTGACCCCCCTAGGCTGGACTTGAACCCCCTCCTGTGTCTCCATGGCACACTCAACTTCTCCTTTTGTGAAATTCATAAATGTGTAGTCATTTGTTTTGTGTCTAGATCATAAGCTTCTTAAGAACAAGGAGCACATCTGGCACCTAGTTCGCATTCAATAAATGTTTGTTTTCATTAAGCCAAGATAAGTGAGATATGCCAAGTGTTCAAATCATTACCAACAGTGCCCGCCGTGTGCTGGCTGACTCTAGGAAGGCCCAGAATTCCACAGCTCGAAGTGGCACATAGCACTACATATATCATGGTGAATGAATGAACAAATGTGTGAATGGAACTCTGGGTATGATTATAAAGTTCTGATCCATCCCAAGACCCTCTGTCTTCTCTGATTGCCAAAGATTACCTGATTGCCAACCCAGCCATATGGAGGAGAGAGCAGGCACAGGGTGGAGCAAAAGTGGTTTACAGTTGTGAGTATGCAAAGTAAAGTCTATTCTTGTGTTATTATTTATTAATTATTGTATTATTTTTCAAAAAAAAAATTTTTTTTAATCCTCACCCAAGAACATGCTTAGAGAAGGAAGAAAGAGAGAGACATTGATCAGTTGCCTTCCATATGTACCTCAACCCTGACTAGAGATCAAACCCAAAACCCAGGCATGTGCCCTGACCGGAAATTGAACCAGCAACCTTTTGGTGCACAGGACAGTCCAACCAACTGAGCCACACCAGCTGGGCTGCATTATTTTCCATATGAACAACTGTAAACCTGTTTTTGCCCCAACTTGTATTTAGAGCTTACTGCATGCTGAGCACTAAGACTACAATAGTGAAGAAAAGTGGTCCCTGCCTTCCTGAAAAATTACATTCTACACGGAGAGGCACACTTAATCAAATTATTATGTAAATCAATATAAAATTGCAACTGAAAACGGCTGCCATGAAAGGCTAGGAAGGCCTCTCTCAGAAGTAATAACTGCTGAGCCCCTGAAGGAAGTGCAAAGGGAGGGGAAGGACTGTCTAGGGAGAACTTTGAGTGCAAAAGTCTATTAGCAGGGATGATGGCTGTGAGTTGAAGCTAAGGAGGTGGGTGGAAACCTGCTCACGCAGGCCCTCTGGTCATGAAAAGAATGTTGTGTTCATCCTAAAAACAATGGAAAAAAATAACTGGACTGAGTGTCAGAGTGGGTTGGGGAGTGTGACAACCCGATTTGAGACTTGAAATGGCCACTCTGGCTGCTCTGTGGAGAACATATTGGAGGGGGATGAGTCCCTGCACGGGAACTTTTAGGCCAGAGACGCTGGCAGCTTGGCCTTGGCCAGTGGTCAGTGGACACACAGAGGAGAAAGATGCAAGAAATGTTTAGGTGAAGCCAAAAGAACTTTTCAACACTAAGTGATGCTACCACCCCTTGGGGAACAGGCCAAGTGAGGCAGTAACAAACAAACAAGACAATATAACAAAACCTGTGTATTTTTCAAAATAATAGATTCCTGGGCTGTTTTCCCCAGAGTTTGATTCATTAAATCTGGATGGAGTCTGACCCTGACATCTGCATTTAAACACATTCCCTAAGAGATTCTTATGGCCCATCTGCAGGCAGTGGTCTAAGGGGCCCTGTGTCTTTGGCACCTGACCCAGAAGGCTCCAGTGTGGAGGAGGGCCTGTGGCTCTGAAAGTTCATCTCCTTGCTCCAGAACCACTTTGAGGGGACAACACAACATGCTGATCTGATTTTCCTAACACAGTGCCAACATATTCCTCAGGAGCAAGTGCAAGAAGGGTCTGAAGAGCACCTAGAGTGCCTTCTTTACACTACAGGCCCACACATGAATGCATGCTGAGACATGCGCACGCGCCCACACACACACACACACACACACACTCCATCTGAATGGGGCATTCCTAACATTCCCGGGACTGGGACTAAGAAATCATTACGACGGAGCAGCGGGCCGAGGAGATCGAGAGCCGCATCGGCAGTGGGAGCCTGGACAACCCTGGTCGTTTTAGATCAATGAGCTCCATTCCCCCATATCCTGCGTCCTGGCTCGCGGGCTCCTCCCCCGCAAACAGCGGTCAGTCCACCCCAAGACACATCCTGCACAGCCCAGCTTGAGAAGTGGATAGGCTGGGCATCGTGACCCTGTTGCCAGCTTCCCAAGAAGAGGTACGAGATGACAAGACGACAATAAAATGTGAAACGTCCCCCCCTCCTTCCCCGAGGTCTTTGCGCTTGGACAGGCTGCACAAAGGCGCCCTGCACACGGTCAGCCACGAGGACATCAGGGACCTCAGGAACTCGACAGGCTCCCAGGATGGCCCGGCGAGCAACCCCAGCAGCAGCAACAGCAGCCAGGACGCTCTCCACAAAGCCCCCAAGAAGAAGGGCATCAAGTCCTCCATCGGCAGCTTGTTTGGCAAGAAGGAAAAGACGCCCCGGGCACGTGGGCAGGGAGGCGCCGGGGCAAGCTGGTGCTTCAGAGACAGGAAACTCACCTCCAGATGCCCTGGGGCTCGGCAAGTTGGGAGGACAGGCTGAGAAAAATCGCAGACTTCAGAAGAAGCAACGAGCTGCTTGAGGAAGCCCGGAGACAAGGTTTGCCTTTCGCACAGTGGGACGGGCCCACGGCGGTCGTCTGGGTGGAGCTCTGGGTGGGGGTGCCAGCCTGGTATGTGGCCGCATGTCGAGCGAACGAGAAGAGCGGGGCCATCATGTCGGCCCTGTCGGACACAGAGATCCAGAGGGAGATCAGCATCAGCAACCCCCTGCACCAGCTGAAGCTGTGGCTGGCCGTCCTGGAGATCATGTCCCTGACCAGCCCGTCGGCCCCCCTACACGTCCCAGACGACTCTTGCATACAGGGACGTGAACCACGGGTGGATCAGCAACGAGTGGCTGCCAAGCCTGGGCCTCCCACAGTACCGCAGCTACTTCATGGAGTGCCTGGGGGACGCGCGCATGCTGGAGGACCTCACCAAGGACCTGCGGGGCAGCTGAAGATGGTGGACAGCTTCCACATAAACAATTTCCAGTGCGGAGTTATGTGCCTGCAAAGGTTAAATTATGACCGAAAAGATCTGGAAAGGAAAAGAGAAGAAAGCCAGAATAACGTAAAAGATGTGCTTGGTTGGAGCAACAACTGTGTGATTCGCTGGATCCTGTCCATCAGCCTTAAAGAATATGCCAACAACCTCCTGGAGAGTGGGGTGCACGGGGCGCTCATGGCCTTGGACGAGACCTTCAATTTCAACGTGCTGGCCCTCCTGTTACAGATCCCCATGCAGAACACCCAGGCTCGTTCTGTCTTGGAAAGAGAGTTCAACAACCTCCTGGTCATGGGGACTGACCGACGATTCAATGAAGATGAAAAGACCTTTAGGCGAGCACCCTGTTAGAGGAAAAAGTTCAGACTCAAGGACGTTCGTGGCTTAGCTGCTGGGTCAGCAGAGACTCTCCCCGCAAACTTCCGGGTCACCTCCTCCCTGTCCTCGCCCCCTGTGCCACCCAAGAAGATGCAGCTGGACCGCAGCGTGTCAGGAGCACAGAGGCTGGACTCCGCCACAGTCAGGACTTACTCCTGCTGGAGCCTCCGTGTGCACCCACACTGCTTCCGCAGGGGACTCTGCAGCGCCGGAGTCCTGCACACGCAGAGTTCCAGAGCCCAGTGGAGTCCCCACTGTCAGTACCTGTGATATGGACCCTGAGATATTTTATTAGAGTTTTTAATCAGTGAGAAATTCATGGATACCATGAAGAGAATATTTTAGAATTTAATGTTTCTTATGTTTATGTAAACCTCTGCCTCCATTTATACAGTTACTTACCTTTTCATGTGTGTCCAGGCCAATCAAGTCTGTTCTTGTGTCTGGTCTTAGTCTCAGATGAATGTCCTGTAATGCTCGTGTGCATACATCCTATGAACGATGTAGGGCTTTTGTAAATTATGCGTTTACTGTAATTATCACTGTTTAATTTTTTAATAATAAACCATGGCAGAGAAGAGGCTTTCCCCGCGCCTGTGACGTGGTCCTGACACCAGCCGCTGCCATTCGGAACGCACCCGGCTGCACAACAATCATTGTGAAATGGGCAGACCTGTCTCCAGCAGCTGCTGCGTTGTATCGACTGACCTTGCTCTCCTTTTCTAGCAAGAAATGCCTTCTTCTGCCCCGTGAACGCCTCTGGGTCAGATGTCAGCGTTCCTGACGTTTGGGCTGTGAGAGGACCATCAGAACACTGTGAGAATCTCGGCCAGCTCGGGCCTGGAGCCTCGTCTCTGCGACTCGGAGACCTGGTCTTCAGAGCCGTGCGGAGCCCCCAGCTGGGGCAGTCGGTAGCTGGACAAGAGAAAGCGGCCGGAGCTCTCGGCCTCCAGCTCTGCCCCGCAGGGTGGGAAGGCGCTGGCACCCCCACACGTGAGGACCAATCCTGGGGGCCGCAGACCATCGCAGAGACCTTGGTGCAGAGGTGACGCTCGGGCTCCTGAGAATAATGCCGAGCAACTAATAAAGACCTTATTTTTCTTACCCAGATCATCGTTTTACATTTGTTTGTAAACATGTTGTTTATCGTGCAGCCGTTTGGACGGTCTGCGTGGCCAGGGGCACTTTCACTGTTTAAATGGCCATTGCACAGCCGCAGGGGCTGCGGGCAGATCACATGTGGTATTTATTGTGCAGCTGCTGCGGACGGCGACGGTGTCTTCACATTCGCTCTGCTCTCAAGCGACCTGTACAGCCCACTGTCGCCCATGTTTTTGTACTAACCCTTTGTGAACTCTGATTATCTAACAAAGTGTGTACAGCCCACTTCTGAGCTCTTTTTATCACAGCGTTATTTATTGCTTTCTTTCAATAAAGTGCTGAAGCCTTTCCCACTGCCCCCAAAAAAAAAAGAAATCACTATGAACATACCACCCAACCAGCACCTTTCCTGGCACATTCTAAGGATTTATGGTTACAGTTCACCCTATAAACTTGGGTTCCTCATAGGACTAGCAATTTACAAGGAGAGATCCCACAGATAGACATAAAAGACTGTGACTAACCCAAGATCATGGAGGTCTTTCCCTGTTCAGTGGCTATCAGAAAATATGCTAAATTTAACTTCTTCCTTGGGATAGACACCAAAATATGTGTGCTAAAAATGTAGCCTTGTGTCACTGTCCAAAGGGTGATGAAATCCGGACAAATACTCTCTCCACTCTGACATATCACCCTATAAGCCCACAATGGCAGGCCCAGTTCATAACTGCCTAGAAAATAATCCCACTGGCTGATAACAAATACAGTGTCCAATGAATGATAGAAAACATCTCTTTTCTTATCATGTGACCTTTCAAATCATACAAAGTCCTCTTTGCATGGGGTCTCAGCTCTCTCTCTAGGCTCCCTCTTTCTTCTCCCTTACCCCAGGGTTCTGGTGTCTTGCAGAAGCAAGTGAGTGAGACAGTTGAGATTTTTGAGGGTCAGTCCCAAATCCATCCAGGTGAAATAGCTCAAGACAAACCATCTCTTGCTGATGTTCACCGTTTTTCATAGCATAAATTCAGCATTATTATGCTAGAAAAGTCTTTGTCTTTATCCTACTAACTACCACCCTTCACTAGGGTTGAGAAGGAAAAACAACTGCAGCCCCACACTTTTGTGAGAATAACACTTTCCTAGACAGAATACTAAGGGGGTTCATTGATGCTAACAGATGCACAGAGCCCTCCCCCAACCCGGGAAAAAAAAGTCCCCATTCTCTGGTTGATGACCCTGTAAAGAACGGGGAGGGGCCCTCTGCAAACCTGCCTTGCTAATGGTTAGAAGCTCCCTCCTTGAGTGTGTTCTGAGGCCTGATGTAGAGTTTGTTATAATTCAGCAACTTCAAAATTCAGTTGATACACATGAGAACCAATTCTACAACCAGAAGAAACCTGGAACATGCTAGTTACTGAAAAGGGCTCTGAAGGACTTGAGGTTGCAGGTGCTATTTTCATCTCCTAAGTTTGACTTTGAAAAAGAAAGAACATGAGGCTCAACCCTTGACAGTTAATATTATGCCTGAGAACAGGGTTTGGGGGAGGACTTGCGACTTACGACAGAAGATTTACAGGTCTCTGATAAATTATGAGGTAACTAACACACAAAATGGGCAACACGTACTTCCTAAAATTTTCAAGGAAAGAGAAAAGTGTCCAAATAAAACTGCAAAACCATGTTTTGTAGCGATGGTTTCCTTCAGGGGTCTGCAGACTGGAGCTGGTCCATGAAAATGTATTTCTGGTTGATGATGAAATAAATGACATTTTTTCAGTATTTTAAATTCTGAAATTATGCCCTTTCTAACATTTTTAGGACTACGCTATTGTTCTTTTCTGAAAAGATGCTGATAGTCTAAGATTGTTTGGGGGGTTGAGAGGAAATATTAGTTCTTGTCAATCATATCAATTGCAGAGAATTTTCCCTTGTAATATTTTTGTACTTTTTAAAAATTGATTTTTAAATAGAGGAAGGGAGAGAGCGACAGAGAGAGCGAGTGATGTGAGATCAAAACATTGATCTGCTGCCTCCTGCACACACCCCAGCCTGGGAATTGAACCTGCTGCCCAGGCGTGTTCCCTGACCAGGAGTCGAACAGGCAACCTTTTGGTGCAGGAAACGATGCTCCAACCAACTGAGCCACATTGGACAGGGCTTCCCTTGTAATTTTAATAAAATCCTAAAGCCTGGGAAGTGCTACATTATAGAAGACCAGAATGGGAAAGGAACTTGAATTTTATCACAAGAAGATAGTTGATGTGGAACTCATGACTAGAGGATGACTGTGGAAAGATAACATTGTTCGGAGGAAGCTGATCTAGTTAAAGTTTCAACAGTGGTGTATCTGTGAAAAAGGAAATCGCAAAACTGAAAACGGAAGCATGTGGATGGACATGAGAAAAGAATTACACAGGAGAATAAAACCTGGCAAGAGCACAGAATAGATGTTAAGGTAAATGGAGGCCACGGATGATACTTTTTAAATTCAGATTGCAAAACTGATCCGAGGCAGATAAAGTAGTGCCAGAGGTTTCCTTGTGCTGAAAGCAGAGGACCCAGTAAATTCTTGCCCTACTGACAATTTAATTTACTACAGTGTGGAAGGAAGATTGTCAGACACAAGTTTTATAGATTTCAGGAAGTTAGATTTCAAAATGTTCCAAAGAAAATTACCTGAGCGGCTCAAAAGGGACAAGTTCACAAACCTGAAGTTTCAATAGTTTGATCCCAAAGGATACCACTGAGGGAAAAAAGAGGCTTCACCAGTCGAAAAACAGCTACCAGTAATCCTCGGATGAGATCAAATGGGCAGAAATAAATGTCAAGTCTCTTATACTAAAAAATGAACCGAACAAGTAATGCAAGGACAGTTTGTGTGAAAATGTTAAACCTACATGAAAGTTTCAATGGACTAAAAGCTCAGTTTGAAGCAGAAAAAGATGAAGCTGCCAAAAAAAGCTAATGTAATGTTAGGTCCCATTCCCTGCATTGGTAGGAGACTCAGTGTTTCCACTGTACCGTGATCACAGTAGAGGTTCAATTCCAAAAACATTTTTGCTTTTTTTTTTATGTAAATAAAATATTTTCATTGTAGAAAAATAAGAAAAAAGGGACTTTTTAAAAACCATCCATGATTACACTACCCAGCAATAACCACATTAAATATTTTTAAATATATATGTATTCTTGGAATATATATATACATACATACATCATACACATACACACATACATTATTATATATAAATATATATATATTTAAATGTATCTTTATTGATTTCGGAGAGAGGAAGGGAGAGGGAGAGAGAGAGACAGAAACATCAATGATGAGAGAGTCATTGATCGGCTGCCGCCTGCACGCCCCCAACTGGGGATCGAGCCCGCAACCCGGCATGTGCCCTGACCAGGAATTGAACCCTGATCTCCTGGGTCCTAGATCGATGCTCAACTGCTGAGCCATGCCTGGCTGGGCTATAAATATATATTTACCAGAATGAAACACGCTGACAAAGTGCTTTATAAAATTTTTTTTAATTTCATTGTTATAAACCTCTTTCTACATCATTAAATATAGCATATAAGAAATATATCATTATTCTTGTGTTCATTGTTTAGATTTGCCATAATGTATTGACCCAATTTTTTATTGTTGGATTTTAGAGTGCCTTCTGAATGTTTTTCTATTATAAACAATGTGTTAAGCAACTTGGACATTCATTTTTGCTCATTTAACCAATGATTTCCTTCTTAGACGTAAAATTACAGGATTAAAAGGTGCAAAATAGTAAGGCTTTTGATAAGCAATGAAAACAGTTTATACCAAGCAATCAAAAAAGAAAAAGCAGCCCAGCAGGAAAATGAATGTTTTATCTTTGTGTGCAAGCATAAAAATACCAATAAGCAATTCACAGAAGACATGTAAATGACCAATTGTTGGGAGCCGGCTATGTGTCTGGACATGGTCCACGTAGCCTGAGGGCCTGGAGCCAAGGACTCAACCCTCCCCACAAGTTCCCTTGAGGAGCTGAGATAAAGAACTTACCAAGGTCTGGGCTCGTGCAGGAGGCAGGATATTTACTCTGAAAGAGTATTTATGCAGCTTTGAAGGAACTAGTTTGTATCACCCTCACCGCATTATCACTTGTTACTCACTATATAATAAAGGCGTTGAAGCCATTTGGGGCTGCCCCTCATTAGAGGACAGTCCTCCTGATCCCATAACTGTGTTTGTCTCTTTCATTCCCACCCCTCGAACTCAGGTTTGTTTGTCTTGCAGGCTGGTTCCTGGCAAGTGGGGTCCGAACAGGGACCTGAGTCCTCGAGACGCAACTTCAGGTAAGGTGAGGACTCCTCCATAGGTGGGCGGCGCTGGCCAGAAAGGGAATTGAGGTAAGAGGAGCATTTTGATTTATAGTCAGGAGTAAAATAAGATGGGGCAATCTAGTTCAGCACAGAGGCTTTTTGCTCAAATGTTAGGTTCTATGTTAAGAACAAGAGGAGCAAAGGTTTCTGAAGAACGTATTTTAAAGTTTTTAAAACTCATAGAGACAGTCTGTCCTTGGTTTCCTAAAGAAGGTACAGTTAATGTAAAGACATGGAAAAAGGTAGGGGAAAAATTACGAGACTGGCATCATGCACATGGGCCAGAAAAGGTGCCCATGGATACATTATCTCTCTGGAGCCTAGTATGTGATTCCCTTGATCCTAGTCATGAGTTTGAATGTAAAACAGGGAGTATGGAACAAAAAGAGGAGGCTCCAAAATTAGAGGGAAAATTAGAAGGAGGAGGGAATGTACAAAGAGAGGGGGGTAAGGATTCCGAATGGGATGCCGAGGAGCTCCCACCAGAAGAGCAGGCTGAATTAGACGATGCAGCTGCTCATTACAATCATGATGATAATCTCTATCCAGCTATGACTAATACAACTAAGGAAGTAACTCCAGAGATTGTCAGGCAACTGACTCGGTTGGTGCAATCATTACAAACTTCTGAACAAAAGCCAACTTTCCCTTCTGCNGGTTCTATGTTAAGAACAAGAGGAGCAAAGGTTTCTGAAGAACGTATTTTAAAGTTTTTAAAACTCATAGAGACAGTCTGTCCTTGGTTTCCTAAAGAAGGTACAGTTAATGTAAAGACATGGAAAAAGGTAGGGGAAAAATTACGAGACTGGCATCATGCACATGGGCCAGAAAAGGTGCCCATGGATACATTATCTCTCTGGAGCCTAGTATGTGATTCCCTTGATCCTAGTCATGAGTTTGAATGTAAAACAGGGAGTATGGAACAAAAAGAGGAGGCTCCAAAATTAGAGGGAAAATTAGAAGGAGGAGGGAATGTACAAAGAGAGGGGGGTAAGGATTCCGAATGGGATGCCGAGGAGCTCCCACCAGAAGAGCAGGCTGAATTAGACGATGCAGCTGCTCATTACAATCATGATGATAATCTCTATCCAGCTATGACTAATACAACTAAGGAAGTAACTCCAGAGATTGTCAGGCAACTGACTCGGTTGGTGCAATCATTACAAACTTCTGAACAAAAGCCAACTTTCCCTTCTGCTTCACCTGCCTCTCCATGGAAAAGAGATTATCAAGATAATTCTAAATTGAATAATTGTAACAGGGAAAATAATCTAAATTATCCATGTATAGAAAAACAGATCAAGGATACCCTATCTCCACTGCAAAGAACGCTCTTGAAAGCACAAGAGAGTGGAGAGGAGGTGTGGAATTCTGGGTTTGCCGTCTTTCCAGTCTCTGAGCAGCCAAACCCTAATAATCATAATCAGGTGCAAAGATATTACACCCCTGTGTCATTCAAAATGTTAAAGGAGCTAAAACAGGCTACAGCTCAATATGGGCCCACTGCTCCGTATACTTTGACCATCCTAGAAAACATTGCTACTGACGCTTTAACTCCTAATGACTGGAGATCTCTAGCTAAAGCATGTTTAACAGGAGGAGAATATTTATTATGGAAATCAAAATTTTATGATCATTGTCATGAGGCTGCAAACAGAAACAGGGCAAACAATATTCCTATAACTTATGAGATGTTAATAGGAGAGGGGCCTCACTTAACCAATGATGCACAAGCAATCTACCCTCCGGAGGCTTATCATACAATTAATGCACTGGCCTCTAAGGCCTGGCGTACATTGCCTACACCTGGCAGAAAATCAAAAGAACTAGCCAAAATAAAGCAGGGACCTGAGGAGCCTTACCAAGATTTTGTTTCCAGATTGCTTCAGGCAGTTCGCTTAGTGCCTGACGGAGAGGCAAGAAAGTTGCTGGTCACACAGTTGGCTTATGAGAATGCAAATTCAGCATGTCAATCTGCTATTGGACCTTGGGAAAAAAAGGGTTCACTATCTGATTATGAACGTCTCTGTGCCGATATTGGAGCATCATATATACAAGGGTTGACATTAGCCGCAGCACTGCAAGGAACAACTCTTCAAGGAGTGATGGAACAGCAACAGAGAAATAAAGGAAAAAGAAGAGGTAATTGCTACAGTTGTGGCAAGTCAGGGCATTTCAGTAAGGAATGTAAAAATAGGAATAATAGCAATGAACAAGTAAAACAACCAGGATTGTGCCCAAAATGTAAAAGAGGAAAGCATTGGGCTAATATGTGCAGGTCAAAAATTGACACAGATGGCAAACCCTTACAGCGATCGGGAAACTACAAGAGGGGGCAGCCTCGACCCCCTCAAACAATCGGGGCCATGTCAGTCTACCCACCCCAGGATTGCCAGGGACCAAACAGGGAATACAGGACCTATATAGAGCCACGCCAGGAAGCGCAGGACTGGACCTCGGTCCCACCACCTGCTACGTGTTAACACCTGAGACTGGACCCCAAGCCATACCCACAGGGGTATATGGGCCTCTGCCAAGAGACACTGTAGGCCTGTTATTAGGACTTAGCAAGGGACAATGAAGGGACTTCAAGTTTTTCCAGGCGTCATAAACTCTGACTATACTGGGGAGTTAAAGGTCATGTGTATAGCCCCTCTTAATATCATTACATTAACCCCTGAAATGAAAATCGCACAATTGATATTATTACCCTTTAAGAAGATAGGAAGAATTTTATCTCAACAGGATAGGGGAAATCATGGCTTTGGCTCTTCCAATAGAGCTTATTGGGTCTGAGAGACCTAAAAGGGAACTGCTGATTAATGGTAAAAAATTTAATGGATTGCTTGATACCGGAGCTGATGTTTCAGTAATTAGTCAGTTATACTGGCCATCCCAGTGGCCTGTGCAACTTGTTATGACTTCTTTGCAAGGAATTGGACAGACTCAATCTCCACTGCAAAGTACACAGATTCTTACGTGGTGAGGTGCAGAGGGAAAGACAGGTAAATTTCAACCTTATGTATTGCCTTTTCTGCCATGTAATTTGTGGGGCCGAGATGTTCTCAAAGATATGGGAGTGTTATTGTATAGCCCAAATACTAAGGTAACTAATCATATGTTAGACCAAGGTTACATACCAGGGCAGGGTTTGGGCAAACATGGCCAGGGAATGGGACAACCCATTCCCTGCAAAGGCCAACTGACAAAACAAGGTCTTGGCTATGATTCAAATTTGTCCTGAAGGTCACTGCTCTTCCTGCCTCCCTTACAGCTGACCCTATTACCTGGACATCTGACAGTCCTGTGTGGGTGGAGCAGTGGCCTTTATCAGAGGGAAAAATTCAAGCGGCCCAGCAATTGGTGCAGGAACAATTAGCTCAGGGGCACATTGAGGAGTCTAATAGTCCTTGGAATACACTTACATTTGTTATTAAGAAAAAATCTTGAAAGTGGAGGCTATTGCAGGATTTAAGAGCAGTAAATAAGACTATGGAAATTATGGGGCCTTTACAACCAGGTTTGCCCTCCCCGGTGGCCATTCCTGCAGGATACCATTTAATAGTATTAGACTTGAAAGACTGCTTTTTCACCATCCCATTATACCCTGCAGATTGTAAAAGATTTGCCTTCAGTGTTCCTTCAACCAACTTTAAGGAACCAATGCAGAGATATCACTGGAGAGTTTTGCCCCAGGGCATGGCAAATAGTCCCACATTGTGTCAAAAATTTGTGGCTACAGCTATTAAAGAAATTCGAGCCCGGTCGGGCGTGGCTCAGTGGTTAAGCATCGACCTAGGATCCAGGCGATCAGGGTTCGATTCCCGGTCAGGGCACATGCCCAGGTTGCGGGCTGCAGCTGATCAATGACTCTCTCATCATTGATGTTTCTAGCTCTCCCTCTCTCCCTCTCCTTTCCTCTCTCTGAAATCAATAAAGATATATTT